ATTGACAAAAGAATCACCCGTAAAGGTGTTCTTCATCGAACAACGATTTCGATCAAGCCCCCATCCCCGTGAACGCAAAAAAATGCCGACGGCTTCTTTTGAACATTTTTCACAACCGAGCATTATTTATTTGCACTCCAAAGGCCTACCACCGTCGTCGTCGTCGTCGTCGTCATCCATATAAAAATCGAATAACATAAAAATGAAGCACATGCGATAAAGTAGTAACCCAAGTTTCGCCCATTCGTCCCCAGCCAACCGAATGCGAAGCTGTTCTGAAGTGAGGATATAAATATGCAGCCACCCCTCGTGCTCCACCGTCCTTCTTCCTCCTCGCACCGGTTGCTGAACAAAATGAAGAAAAAAAAACAGCAACAACAATGAAAAAGAATATGTGTGTGCAAAAAACATAATTTTAATGCTTTTTACTGCCATCTTGCCGAGGCTTCCATTCCACACCGTTAGAGCGGTGGGGCCGAGGGTGAGGAGCCGGGTAAACTTTTTTGTGCTTGGAGTTGCGAAACACACACACACACACACACACACACACACACACACACCCACACATACACGCTCACACTCTTGTGAGTACACAGGAGGTGGAAAATGGAGAACAGGCAGTAGGCGAAGCTATGGATTGCCACTGCCTACTGCGCACACATAAATATAAAACTAACCAAAATTTGGGTTTTTTAAACCCAAATTTGAGTTTAAAGATCGCTTCATTTCGCGAGGGAGGCTTCTACCAAGCTTGATAGGTGATCGGTAATGAAAAATAACCATAAAATATTGAAAAAATTAGTGAATTTTCAATTACTCATTAATTTCAATGTACATAAAATCCTTGGGGATAATTTCAGTAATTCCTACTATTTCCAGTATTTTTTTTCTGATATAAGCTTGATATCAGTCAAAATTTACACAGGTCACGTTTTTCTGAACTTCTGGTTGCAAACTTCAGAATCCCAGGTTCACTATGATAGGATTGTAAGTAAGTTTTATGAGAAAATCGGGAAACAGCAATATATTCAAAAAGTATTTAATTTTCAGAAAAAATAACGTTGAGAAACTGATCCGTATGTTGTCCTAGTTTAGTCCAGAGATGAACAATACCCAAGTAACAATTCTGCAATCATTTGGCATCCACTCTGATTTACGATGGTTTTATAATGGCAATGAATAATCCATTTAGTTTAAATACAGCATTTCGCAGTGTAAAACGTTCCAGCTTAGTAGTTCACCTTTTCACTGTTTTAAAAACCTCTTACAGTCTCGCGAGAAGTCAAAAACTGTCTTGTTTTAAAATTAAATTTAAAGTAGTTCTCAATCCCACCATAAAACTGTTCTATAAATCAATCATAAACTTCATTAGCATTTTTTTTATTAATGTCTTGATAAAATACTCTATAAACCTGTTCTATCATTATAAAGCAATCATAAAACCATTAGGTTTTAAATGAGAGCAAAAGTTGCCTTTTAGGCTTTTAAAAGTGTATCATAAAATCTCCTCTGTTTACAGATTGAACTTGAAGGATGGATCCTCATAGTGAATAAAAACCAAATTTATGACAAGGATATCTCGAAGGATAAACGAAGTTGGAGGAAAAATTCAAGCGATGCTAACGACCGAAGGGAAGTCGATTTCAGTAAAATTTAGTTCTTTAGAACAACCAGCATGTCCGGTGGAACGGGTACCTTAAACGACTGAGCATCTGGTGGAGAAGAGTGAAGTGAGCGTGGTCCTCAAATTTATAAAACATTGTCAATACAGCCTGAAAACAAACCAGCCTTCTCCAGACCTTGCGAATAGATGAAGATCGGAATAACTTGCGTCACTACCGACAGCAAACCACTGAAACTGTCAGTTATCGGACACTAGTTTTATTTCCGATCTATAGCTGCGATTTTATTCGCCGAAAGGGTCATCACTTGGAAAACAAATCATTCCACCGTACATTCCTGCATCGTTTGATGGTGCACTTCCAGAACCATCCGGAAGATGGGGATCTTTTCAGGAATGATCGAGGTTACAGCTGTGCGAAATGCGAAATGTTGTGAACACTTTCTGAATAACTGCTTCCAAGCCATCGGGAGAAAATCGCCTGGAAGAACGCTGAATCGCACAGCGCAACTATCGAAAGATAAACAAACTTTAACGTTTAACATTTTGTAGGCAGCATTGCCGCCATAAATCTGAACGGGTTAGGATCAAGAAAAATGGCTTTCGATAAATACAATCAGTCTACAAGTTTTCGTCATAAAAGCAATTTCAAAATCTTATGAATTTGTTAAGGATTTCTTGAAAGCAAAATAACTTTTTCACAAATGGCCCATGAATTTTGTTTGTTTTTTTACAATCTTCGATTTTCAAACTATATTTCCTTGGATATAACATTATTTTAGTTAATTTAGCAATGGGAAAATATTTAGAATGCAAAAATTATGAGAAATAAAAATCTCAGCTAGGCTTAGTGATCGATCTGAAGAATAAATTTTTTCTTCTTAATGTTAAATAATTAGTAAAATCGATGTTTTCCGTGGGCGGACTCAAGCTTTTCGATGTTTTTACGTACAATTCACATCACATTTTATATGGCACCTAAAGCTAGGCCACTTCATAAGAAATATTTTATAATTTTGGAAATTCGGCAGGATTTTTTCTACGATCAGTTTTTATTTTAATTATTTTGATAAGATCGGATGGTATTTATTGATCCTTTTTTATCTTGTTTGTTGTTTTTCTAGTGAACTTAGCAAGCAGCTAGGGTAAATGGCTCGGATAATGGTATTAATGGTTGCCAAATAGCTTTTATTGTAGCTTAAATACGGGTTTAAAATGGATCTCAATGCGTTTATCGTTCAACCATTTTGCAGAAAATCAATCATGAAGAGCTTCGAAAATATACCCTTCAGAATCTTCTTCAGGGTGGGCCAACTAGACAGATTCTAGCATTGTTCGCGTGCAGTCCAACCCTGCGCCCAACTTAGATGTTCGTGCGTGGTCCTACCCCTCGCAAAACCAGCTGTCAAACTCGTCGTCCCGTGCTCCCAACATACCGTGCCGATTCAAATTTCGGACACTTAAACTCGAATTTCGGACACTTTTAAAAGTTGATTATCTCGGTCGAATATGATCCACATGTCTTGTAAATTTTAGATTTTTTTGACTAGTGCCCTCCACGAGCATCTAACATTATTACTTTGTTTCTAACTGGATGTAATATTTAATTAAAAATGAAAGTGTCCGAAATTTGAATCGTCCGAAATTTGAATCGGAACGGTAGAAGAAAAATACCGCTTCTGGAATTCACCAGTTATTCATTCGTCCGACCGAGCGGTCGACAACACGTATCTTTCTTGTAAAATATAAGTAAAAATACAGTCCATTTTCTTTCAATTAAGTTCGAAACGTTTTACTGCGTTTCGCCTGCTCTCTCCCGAAAACATTGGACCTTCGAGCCGATATTTACGAAACCGCCATGGAAGCAATTCGGAAACGTCGCGATGTGTTTTTTCAGCACATGAAATGGGAGCAGAATAACGCTAGTGCGGTCGAAAGAAGAAATCCTCCTTTCGGCGAGATTCAGGAGCGATTGAACAGACTCACTGAACTTTGTGAGCAATTTGACAAAGTGCAATATGAAATCGAAGAGCAGTCTGAAGCGCTCGAAGAAATCAACTCGGTCTTCAATCACCGGTTTGAGTTCGAAGAAATGTACTATCAATTAAAAGGGCGCTACGTCAAGCTACTCGACGAACATAACCCCCACGAAAGCAGCGAAAGTACAGTTGCCGAACCAATGGATGATCTGAAAGAGGTTATCAAGTTGCTGTTGGATTCACAGCGGCTACTGATGACGTCACAAACTGCAGCTTCGAACACCGTGTCACAGTTGGCTGGCCAAGTAGGTTCCATGAATCTTTCCCGTCCGTTTGCTGATGCTCAGGCTTCCGGGGGTCAACTTCCGATTGAGGTGCGCTTGCCAACAATAACTCTTCCGGTATTCAAGGGCGACCGGAAACTCTGGACTTCCTTCAAGGACCTGTTTGTAAGCTGCATTCACTCGAAAAATCTCAAAGATTCCGTGAAGCTGCAGTACCTGCTGTCTTACATAGATGGAGAGGCGAAGCAGTTGGTTAGTGCGTTCACTATCACCGACGCCAACTATGTGGAAGTGTGGGATAAGCTAAACGAGTTCTACGATAAGAAGAAGTATACCGACGCGGTACTTGTCAAAGAATTTGTGGACCAGACGCCGGTTGCTGCACCTAGTCTCGTTGGGCTCCGCAAACTTGTGTCAACCTCGGATGAAGTTGTGCGGCAACTCAAGGCTCTCGGTGAATCGTACGAATCTCGTGACCCCTGGTTAATTCATCTGTTATTGGAAAAACTCGACCGTGAAACCCGTTCGTTGTGGGCTCAGAAGCTAGTCGATTTGGACAATCCTAGCTTCCAAGAGTTTGTCACATTCCTCGAGCGAAGATGCGATGCCTTGGAAACTTGCGCGTCCTTTTCCAAGAAGGGAACTGATACGACCACGAAGAAGGAACAAGATCGGAGAACGGACCAAAACACGAAGAATACATCGTCAAGTAACACACAATATACCAGTGTGCCAGCTTCAAAGAAATGCCAGTGAGTGAACGACGGGAGTTCACCCATCGAGCCAAGCTCTGTTTTAATTGCCTCAAAACGACCCACATTGTGAAGAACTGTACGTCTACAGTTGTATGCAAACAATGCAAGCAAAAGCATCATTCGCTGCTCTGCTCAAATGACGACAGCTCTGTTCCTGATTCTAGCCAACTCCGTGAAGATGAAGCAACTGTAAAGAAGCAGCCAACAACAACATCAGAAGTACCGAAGCAAGCGAATTCTGTGACATCGTATGTCGCGGATCTCAAAACCAGCTGTTCAGTGAACTTCCTTAGTTTGCTGCCTACGGCTGTCATCAAGGTGCTGGAAAAAAAACAACGTTTTCCATGAAGTACGGGCAATGATGGACTCTGCCTGTATGAACTCGCTGATCAGCAATCAAGCATTCGAACGTCTTGGCCTGGAAAGGCGCAACGCTAATATTCTCGTTAACGGAATCACTGATGGGAATCCCAGCAAGACAACAGGAGCAGTCACGCTGCAGATATCATCGCGATTCGACGACCGTGTCGTCATCGTGGTGGAAGCCTTAATACTAAAAAAATTGGTTCCGGACCAACCGAGTCAACCGTTTGAAGTCGATGCTGGTGCCTTAGCCGAGGCACCTCTCGCAGATCCAAGCTATAACAAGTGCGGTAAGATCGATCTTTTGTTGGGAATAGAAGCTCTTTTTTCCATTCTAGAACCGGGAAAGCTGTACGACGGTCGGGGTGTACCCATTGCGCAAAACTCCGTCTTCGGCTACCTGGTTGGTGGCCACTTCAATACATCGCATGCCGCCGAAGGTCATGCGGTGCTCAGCTTAACGACATCATTGAACCTGGACCAAACGCTCCGGAAATTCTGGGAGGTAGAGGAGGTGCCTAAATCTAAACAGCTCACGCCGGACGAGTTGCGGGCTGTCGAACATTTCCACTCCACCTTGTCCCGGAATGAATCAGGGCGATACATACTTACCCTTCGACTGTACAAAGCCAGAACTGGGCGAATCGGCTACTGCTGCCATCCGGCGGTTCAAGGCCATGGAGCGGAAATTCAGCATCGATCCAGAACTACAGCATCATTACCAGCAGTTTATGACTGAGTATTTGACCCTCGGTCATATGGAGAAGGTACCGCCTAGCGAGGATGCGGTTGCACCAGAGAAATCATTCTATCTTCCCCATTACGCCGTGTGGAAGGTGGATAGTAAGACGACAAAGTTGCGCGTCGTATTCGACGCCTCGAGCAAGAGTGGTTCCGGAGTGTCACTTAATGACTGCTTGCTAGTTGGACCGAACGTGAACGAGTCGCTTTTTAACGTATTCCTTCGCTGGCACACGTACAAGATCGCCTTTATCGCCGACATCGTGAAGATGTACCGGCAAATTCTCGTTGCCAGAGAAGATGCCGATTACCTACAAATAGTGTGGCGAAACAGTCCGGACCAGCCACTGGAACATTATCGTTTGCTGACCGTTACCTACAGTACGGCGAGCGCAGCGTATCAAGCTATGGCGGCTTTGCGACGGGTCGCTGAAGACAACAAGGAAGAACATCCGCTGGTAGCTGAGCGGATTCCCCGAAACATCTATGTGGATCATCTGTTTTCGGGCGCGGATTCCATCGACGACGCCAAGCTCCTCCGTAATGAAATCACCCACGTTCTGGAGAGCGCTGGCTTTGTCCTGCGAAAGTGGAGCTCAAATGAGCCCCAATTGTTGGAGTGCGGTGCAATTCAAGACGAGCCCTCCGCTAAATCTACCCTAAGAAGATGATTGTGTCAAGGCTTTGGGAATCAGATGGACGCCTCAAGAGGACATATTTAGTTCCAAGCTCACGTTTGATATCTATGGCGCAAATACCAAGCGTCAGCTGCTGTCCGATTCATCAAAATTCTTCGATCCATTCGGTTGGATCGCGCCGGTGGTCATCCGAATGAAAATATTATTCCAACACCTGTGGCTCTATGACTTGGGCTGGGATGATCCACTTCCAGCATTCATTTTGGAAGAGTGGATTGCGTTGAAAGAAACATTGCACCATATCGAGAGGATTCAGATTAAGAGATGGATTCCCCACATTGAAGGCAAACTGCAACTCCATGGGTTCGCGGACGCCTCTGAAGCTGCATACGCCGCTGTCGTCTACGCACGCACTATCGACCAAGACGGAAGAATCGCAACGAATCTGGTAGTGGCCAAGACCAGGGTGGCTCCTATTCTTCAAGTTTCACTGCCACGCTTGGAGCTGCTGGCTGCGGAACGATTGTTGAATTTATGTATGGGTCCAAATTAGGACTAAGGCCGACATTACATCCATTTTCCCTATCTTCGTCTTTTTTGGATAATTTAGAGTTAGTTGTACCCTTAGTGTTACCTTGTCATTATGCGTAAACAGCGTCACGTAAAGAAGTGCCAAAATCTGGCAACCCCGATCTACCATATTGTTAACTTCATCCAACTCCTCTCAGCTCGACTAGCCCAACAACAAAGCCATGTCGATATCTTCCTACTAACTGAGGGGGGAGAGAGACCCGGCGGGGCTAAAGATGAACACGAAAAAAGCTTACAAACTTTATTAGATATAGTTTATGGTTATGATCTGCTTTTATTCTCCCGCGGCTCGTCCGTCCCTTCCAGAGCATGTTGGTCGGTAGATGTCGAGAGTGTTTGCTTTCCTTGTTCTTCCTCCGACATCGAAGCGACGCAATATGTTCCTACGCCATGCAAGTTTTTCCTTTCTCTCTGGGTCGAGAGTTATGGCCAATGATACTGAGTGCTGGCCTCTTCCCGTTTAAGGGATGACAACATAAGGAAGACCTACCACCTACCATATGAGCAACGGAAACGGTGAGGCAAGTCATAGTCAGTAAAGTAAGTGGGTACTTAAAGGAAGCTCCACTCTTCAAGGTGAGGAATTGAGCACGTGGGTCGTAAAATTGAAGAGATTCGGATCTTACCGATGGCACTGCGGTACGATCTGAAACAATTTCTGTTCCGTCGGAGCATGGCAGTGTTACATTGTAATCAATTTTGAGGCACGTTTTAAACAAACTTTTGCTTTAAAAAAAAAAAAAACAGCGATAATCCCTGTCTATATCCGGTTCAATATTCTAGCGCTCAACAGCCATTGCCGTGGCTTAGAGGTATTAGCGCTAACGGGTACGTGATTTTCCGCTTCTTTTCGTCCTAATTAAATAACCTTTCGCTGGTGTAATTTCCCGGTAGGGTTCAAGTCGACGAGCGAAACACAAAAACATCAGTGAAATGGTTAAACACACGTTCGTCGCTCGGTTTTACGACATTGACCGCGATTCGAGATGTCATCAAAAAAATCAGAAGTCGTTACTACGGAATGATGTGATGACAATTTTGAAAACGAGCGAGTCTGAACTCGACGAAGAGAAAAGTGTTATTCCGTCGAAATGGTGCACACTTGAGGAGAATGATGCACTCGGGAGCGAAAGTAGCCCATAAACATGACAACGTGGGGGTCAGTAAAACATCGGTGTTTGACTGATGCAAGTGTCTGATGGGAGAGTTATGTCGGTATCAAGTCGTTTATTGTACAATTTAAGGTCACAACCTTTTCCATTTCCCAAATTTCAAGCAAATGGCTCTTCTCTTTAACTTTTCCCGGATTCCATCCAGCGACAACAGAGCACAACAACCTGCTCAGTACATACATTATCAACCTTCAACCCACCTACGACAATTCGTGTATGCACAGCACTCCATCCATTTGCAATTCCAGCAGCGAGAAAAGCATTCTGCTACACATTGGAAAACTTGTCACAGAGAAAATCGAAAGAAAAGATAAACTTTCCCCTCTCCCTCCCATCCTCTGTCATCCCCGCAGGATATCCATTGAAATTCCATTCCCCCACATTGTGAACCATCACATCGTCGTCTGCGCAACTACCGCACAAGCACACACACACGAACATTAAGCACACACCAATCCACCCCCTCCCCCCTCGTGCCACAATAACAAAACTCGTCGTTGGTCCGTTCCAGGTTCCACCACCACCACCACCACCTACACTCGGTAATGGAAAAATGGGGGAAAATCATTGCAAACAGATGAACTGGCAGAGCCAAAGGACGCGTCGCCGTCGTCGGTCGTGGTCGCTTTTCCAAAGAAAATGAAAATGGATTTTGCCAGCGAGATAGAGTGAGAGAGAGAGAGAGAGAGAGAGAGCGCGTGCACCCCCGAATAATCGATTTTCTTCAAGGGTGACGAAGGCAGCCTGGGATTGATCTAGACGCAGGAAAGGCGGAGTTGATTTTGGGGATTGGGTTTTTGGATGGTTTTGTTTATGTTTTTTCTTTCGGGAAATGAGATGGTTGGGTACATTGGTTTGCTTTTATTTGAATTGGAACATTATTTTGAAAAAAAAAGTTTATGGCAATTGCGGAATCCACTATGAAGCGAACAGAAATGACACTGCATTAAAAATGAGGTGAAAACCAGTACCATTTTCTTTAGATAAATCATGCCTTGCAAAATTGTGGTATACGAATGTATAACTGTAATTTCCTCGACATTCCCTGGACTTCCCTGAAAATCTATAGGTCTGATGTTCTCAGAATTCCTAAAAGTTTCCACAATTTTCCTAGAGGTACAAGAACTACCTTCAAGTCCTTTCGATGTTTTTGAATTTACTTACTTTTTGAATTTACTACTTTCACGGAACTTCCCTTAACATCTTTATATTTCCCTGAACTTTTCAGAACGTCCTTAAGGTTACTTTAACTTTCCATACGAGCAGGGATCTTCTCTGAAGTTCTCATAATTTTTTTGAAATTCTAGGAAATTTTTTGAATTTCCGAAAAGTTTTCGAAAACTTATTTTAATTTTTTGAAATTTCCCTGAAGTTAACGGAATTACCTTGAGGTTTCGTGATCTTCCCGGAACTTCTCTAAAATTCATGCAATTCTCCTGAAGCTCCTGAAAAGTTGGAGAACTGATCTGCCGCTCATGGCAAGAAAAACCCAACTAACATTTTCAGCTTTGTAAGTCAACTTTTCCAGCGTTGTGCTGTAAAGTAGCTGAAAAGAAGCTGCAGATACAGCTACAAGCTAAAGCTAGCAAAATAGTTTTGGAGAGCGTTTACTCAACTTTCTCACAACCATTATTCAATTTGTCAGTCGCACTGAATAACATCAGCCAATAAACGCTAATGTCACTTCTATACACACACTAATCAACTTTCAACTTGTAGCTGCAAAACAAAGCTAACAAAGTGAATATATTACTCATTTGATGGCTTCCAAACAACCAACCGCTCTTGCTGAATAACATAAATATCAAAAGTGCTTTTACAACAACTAAACAACCTGTACTCAGCTTAGGTTTTGTTTTGCTGCGTCGTTTTCGTTCTTGTGAAAATGTGGAAAATTTACAATTTCAGTGTTAAAAAGTGTTAATTGAATGTACAGAAGTTGTGTTGAAAAGTGCATAAGTGAAAATCATCAAATCCTTCCCTTTCCATTGCATGAGGTGCCCTCCGTTCCGAATAAAGCGCAGCAACGTTCAGCTAAGTTTATTTGCCTTTTAGTTCCTCTTTCCTCTATAACAGCACTTCCCAGCGTGCGGCCTGCGGCTCGGAAATATTCAAAGATGCAGCCATTTAAAAACTACAAGATTAGGAAGATTGGACAGGACTTATCCCTCTAAATTGAGACGATCATTTAAATTACTAAATACCCGTCAATCTTTTATCTAGAGGCTATTTGAGCTACGGTCTAACTCCCGGGTCCAGGCTTCTTGCGTTCATAAGAACTTATTTCATACATAATGCCACTGCCAGACAGTGGGAGTTAGATTGTAAACAAACACACGTGGCATGGCAGCCGTTTGAAATGTCATTGACCAATTCAAACGGGGAAATATTCCGCCAGAATTAAGGAGCGAGCTTTTCCATGATTTCTTGGATTCTCAGGACTATCCCGCACGGCCAATGAGATCAACTTAAATTTGAGTTCAGTTTGCTCATAATCGCAAAGAGTGCAGAAACTCAGCGATGAGTAAATTTGCCTCATGTTTTCCGTTGGAAAAACTAAAAAAAAAAATGGCAAAGTTTTTCTTAGTCTATGAAGACTGAGAGAATCCAATCTTTACTTTTCTCATATTCGGGAATTTTTTTTTCCTGGAAATCCTGCAAAAACATGAGCAAATTTATTCATCGCTGAGTTCCTGAACTATTTCCGATTTATGAGTAAACTGCACAACCGTTTAAGCAAACTCAAAATTCGCTTCTTCTCGTATACAGGTAGATTTTATACATAATACCACTGCCAGACCACTGCCAGACACGAGTGTGATTGTAGATACATACAGTACATACAATAAATGAACGAATGAAAAATTGCATCAGTCAAATGTGTCAAAATTAGTCTGTTTTTTTTTTATAAAATCTTTATTCTAATCCTAACATATAAACATGTCTTACAAGCTAAGCTATTCTAAACTAATTACAGGCATTTATTTCTAAGAAGAATTTGAAGCTAGGCAAGGAGATCATATGTCATTCTGTTTCCAAAATATATTGACTAAACTGAACAAATTTTCTTAGAATCATAATTTTGTCATCCCTGCTAAACTCTTCTAAGGTTGGAGCTATCAAACTGGAAAAGGTTAAGAAGCGCATTAAACGAGGATCAAATCTGTTTAGTAAATGTCTAATAAAATAGTTTGATGATTGATTGACCGAAAAACGTTTACAAAATATATGCTCAAGATCTTCGAGGAATCCGCATGATAAGCAATTAGG